ATTTGCAAATCATATCTTAATAAAGAGTTAATATGAGGTGGGGGTAATAGTTCAGCGGCAGAGCACATGCTTAGTAAGCAAGCACGAGGTCCTCAGCTCTACCCCCCGCACTGCCATCAAAATGAGTTAATATCCAGAACAGATAAAGAACTCCTACAACTCAACCACCACCACCACAACAGCAAGAAACAAACAGCCAGATTTAAAAATGGGCGAAGGACTGAATAGATATTTCTGCAGAGAAGATATATACAAACGGCCAATGAGCCATGAGAAAAGATGCTCAACATCACTAATATTCAGTTATTCAGTAAGGCAGTAATTCAGTTATTCAGCAATAACTACCAAACTTAAAAATGGCTATGATGGCAAATTTAATGTTACATGTTTTTTACCACAATTTTTAAAATCGTACAATGATGTAAATGCAGTTGTTATTACTGCAACAAAGACAGGGTATGTGATGCTGTAAGAATGTAAAATTAGTCGGGGAGGGAGTGTTTACTGGGTGTCCGAGAAGGCTTCTGTAAGGAGCTGATGCATCAGCTAGACTTGGAGTCAAACAGGAGGCAGGGGTTGGGGGCAGGGCAGCACTACAGTGGGAGCAACCCGTGTAAAGACCCCAGGGCAACAGGTCACATGATGAGTCTGAATTTGTTTTATATAGTGCAGTTCTCATGAACTTTCCTGCTTTGTGATAAAATCAATGATATTGATGACAGTAGCAGCCAACACGCACTGAATATTAATTCACTTAATTCATTAACAAAAATATTAAGTGCACAAATTTTGAACCAGACTGCTTGGGTTCAAATTCCAGCTCTGCTATATCCTTACCAGCTTCATAATCTTGGGCAAGTTAGTTAATCTCCATGCCTCAGTTTCCTTATCTGTAAAATGGGGACACTAACAAGACCTACAACATAGGGCTGTCACGAGGAGCTACTGAGGTAGCATATACAGTAAGTTATAGTGTATATACAGTACCCACCATATGCTAAGTAAGAGTTATATAACTTCTTGTTAAATAAAATTAAACTTAATTACATCTTCTGATACATTGCAAAAACAATCACAAATTCCTCCCATTTCTGTAAGTTTACTCTTTTGCAATGTGAACTTTCAAAATCAGAATCCATCTTCCCACTTAAAAGCAGGGTGCATCCCAAATCCATCAAAGCTAAAATTGACCCCCGCGGGTCCCTTCTCTGACCCGTTCTTCCCTCAATCTCCACTCTCAGGAAATAGCAGCTCCATCCTTCCAGGTGGTTGCTCAGCTCAGGAACCTTAGAGAAGTCATCGATGTTTTTTCTATTTTTACTCCTCACATCTGCTCTGTCAGCAAATCCTGGTGGCCCAGTCTTTAAGTTATGCCCAGAATCTGATCACTTCCCACTGTTTCCACACTGCCTCCTCCCTGGTCCAGGCCCCAGCATCTCCTGATTACTGCACTGGCCTCTTCATGGTCTCCCTGCATCCGTCCTTGTCCCTCCACAGCTTATTCTCAAGCCAGCAGTCAGAATGATGCTGATAAGATACAGTCAGATCCTGCCCCTCCTCTGCTCACATCCCTTCAGTGGCTACCACCTGACCCAGAGCAAAGGCCAAAGTCCCTGCAGTGGCCTGAGAGGCCCTCGGTGCTCTGCCCCATCTCCCCTCTCACCTCACGCCCCACTGTGCCCCACCTCGCTCACTCAGCTTCATCGCACTGGCCTTTCCTTGTTCTAGAGCACTCAGTCCAGCACTGTCCACTGTCCTGCCCCAGGGCTGTGGCACTTGGGGCTTCCTGGAACAACATTCCCTCAGAGATCCACATAAATGACTCCCTCATCTCTTTCAGGACAAACATCCTAGACCTTATCACTCTAGTTTCATCTGCATCTTACCCCCAGCCGGGTTCTTATCCTTTCCTGCTTATTTTCTCCCAAAGCACTCATTTCCTCCTGACACATTAGAGGAGCATGTGTGTCCTGTCTGCTTCCCTGCACAGGAATGCAAGCTTTTCAGGGCGGGAACTTTCATCTGTTCTGTTCTCTGATGAATCCCCAGGGTCCAGGACAGAGCCTGGCATGCAGCAGACACTCAGTATTTGTTGACTGAATACAGTTGAATGAATCCAGAGCCCCTGAAACATCCCAAAGAGAGATATTAAACTAAGTAGGTTCATCTGGTATGTTAAATTGCATGGAAAGTATTATCGAGTAAGTAATAAATCTCCTTAGGTTATACTGCTTAGGTAAATGTAATTAATATAGATATTCTAGAAATTATAAGGAATTCCTAAAAATCTAGTATGTCTTGGTAAAATGTTATCAGTTGTAATTTTAGTTATTACCTTAAAATGTCGTATGTCACAGCAGTAACAAAGTTTCTTTTTTTAACATTTTTTA